CAGGGATTTTTTTTGTTGGATTCGTTCATTTAGCGCGGAAAAATCCTGCCTGGTCTGCGGGCCGGGGGAGACCGCCACCTAAAGTTACCTTCCCCCGTGAGATTTTGTTTTCTGGAGGTTTAGATGTCAGCCGTTTGGCTGAATCACTGCCACAAGCAGGCCCTTTCCTTCCCCCAGCGCTGTCGTGACATATATGCTTTATATAACACGGTGCATATGTGCACTATGGCGGACACGAGTAACGCCCGCCGCAGTCGGTTTTGCAGTAGTGCCCAGGGACGGGCAGCTGGTGTGGCCTTGTCCTGCGAAACGGCGCCGCGCGGCTCCCTCCGCCAGCCTCCCCTTGGCCCCCGTTGGGACCTGCTGGGACCTGCTGGTGCCATGCGTGAAAGGGGAAGATGTGGGTTTCGTCTTCCCGAGACCGTCCTTGACAAAGTTCTTGGTCTTTATTCTGATGTGTGACCCGACACTGCTGGTTGCAAGTCACTGCAAGGGTGGCAATAATTCTTGGAAATACTTCTTGAGAAATAAAAAATAAATAAAAATAAAATAATAATAAAAAAAACACAGTGCTTTCCAGCATGGTGCATTTCCACTGTTTAGCTCAGTTCCGCTCCACTCCTCATTTCTGAGGTGTCTGGAGATGAGGATTGTAAAGGCATTCCAGGCACTGCCTGGAACACCTTACTTGGCCTTTCTTCTTTTTTCCCACAAGCTCCGAGGTCCCCTGGGAAGGGCAGCAGAGTTGGGGTTGTCACTGAAAATGGGAATAAACCTCCTAACACCAGTGTAGTATTAGGAAGCAGGCATTCACTTTATTGCAGCGTGAGGGATAGCTCCTCCTATCGTGCATCCCCTAAACTGCATTTGCCAAAGCTTTTATGAATCCATTATCTACATATGCATTAAATTCTTGGAATGATCACACATATTCATTACACTTCCTGGAACTAATTACAACATACCCACTCTCGCGCACATCCACTCTCTGTCCCTTCGGTGGTTCCTGGGGGTCTTTTGAGACCCCTCGTGCTTGTCTCTTTGGTGTCCTTTAGCTGATCTCTGGTGACTCACTTCCCGATATGGTCTCATTTTGGCTCAGAGAGCCCTGTTTTGGCCCTGTTGCCCAGTTTCTGCTGGTTCCTTGAAGATACGGCAGTCCTTATCTTTGTCTGCAAATGGTGTTTTCTGTTTTGCCCCTACTCTCTCATGATGATGTACCAGCAGCACCTGCTGTTTTGCCCGTGCTGTCTCGTGACATGCCAGCAACAGCAGCGAAAATTATGTCCTTGAGTGCATTCTTGTCTGGGGCTTCTCGTAACAATACCACTTATTTCACTTTTTTTGTCTCCACTGCACCTAAATTTCCCCTTATCTTACCAGTTCCTTCAGTCCAGGGCTCTGCTGTGTGTTGCAATTTTCCTCCTTCTTCGGGGAGAGGCTCCAGGCAGATGTTTACAGTTGTGTAGGAGATCTGGGCCTAAATCCTTTGCTTTCTTTTCTTGTTCTTTATTGTGAAGATAAATGAAACCATGTCTTCAACTTTCTAAATGGGGTCTGAGCTGTCCTTGCCCTTTGCTATATGCTGTTGTGAAGACAGCACCAGTCCAGGCGCTGTAGGTCCTGGTGCCTATGCGGCAGCATGAATGGGATGCTGCCATGAGGATGAGGCTGTAAGAGGGAGGGTGGACACCACTCCGTTTCTTCAAGCAGAACTGCCACTGGGGGAAGTATCCTTGATCTTCACAGTGAGACCAGTGGGGGGGGAAAAAAAAGTGCCTGTTTCTAAAGGCTGAAGGGAACATAGTTGAATACTACGAGAACCAGCAGGACACACACTCATCCAGGCACTCATTGTAAGGCTGCCATGACTCATGCTGTTGCAGTCCAAATATCTATATTTCTATCACACCATTCCTAAAAGCCTGCTCAATATTTGGGGACAGTGGGGGAATGTAAGGAAAGGGGTGTTCAACACTGTTTTGCAACTAGTTTTAGGCATTTTTAGAGTAGTGACATGGCACAAGGCAAGGTCATGGGACACTGTGAATGCAGTTGTGCTGTATATTGGCTCAGAGAGTGAAGTGCGTGAATAGGAGAGCTTGAAACTTGGTAAGTGAGAGCAGTCGAGGGTCTATAGGTAAATGAAAGGATTAAGCAGAAGAGGCCAGCTTGATGCACAGAAAAGCTGCTGAAGGACTACTGAAATGTTTTAGTTTACTAATAGCTGTGATGTTACTGTGAGTTCTCAGTGAACTTACAGATGAAGTCTGAGGAATCAAAGCTGTTGAGCGCCTCTCTAGCTGCACAGATCATGGGGCTGAATGGCAATTAACCAGTCCTGTATACAAACTCAGGATTACCTGGCAATAAAGCTCACAGGGCTGATTGTTATGTTGCTTAATTTAAAAAAAAAAAGAAACAAAGCAATTTCTTATTGCTTTTATATTTTTATATTGCCCTGTAGAGGCCCTGTGGCCAGGGACATCATTGCTGCACTGCAGAGCAGGGACTGGCAACTCCGGACTGGACTAAGATAGGGCCAAGCTGGGGAGGCAGTGACCAGGAGGTCCCTCAGGGCCCTGACACATGGAGCTGGTGCATGGCCTGCCAGTGCGGATGCTGTAGAAGTGCCCTCTTCACTTCACAAGATGCAGGATTTCAGCCTCACATGCTCATGTTAAAGCAGTTTTCCAGCTCAATATGTCAGTGATTCTGCACTTTGCTGCCTCAGCTATTCAGAGCTGTTTCCTGCTTTGCTGATTAATCAAGGACATGAAAGAAAAAAAAGAGAAATGATTGCAGTCTTGGAGCCCAGCCCTACCCCATGTTCGGAGCTGCCGGCAGTTACGTTCATCAATTCCTCCCCTATATTCCCCTTTCCTCCCTAGGAGGTCTGTATAAAAATGAGGATTAAGTAAGTCACTGCTGGATGCCTTGCCCATTCCATACCCTCTATTGCAAAATCAACAGTCTCAGTTATCCCTAACGGAGACTCTGGCAAGGTGGAATCTAGATGCAATATTCTGGAGGGGTGTTTTTTTTCCTTTCCTTCCCAATATAGAGATACATATGCACACACACATCCTTATACACGAATTGAAGCTGCCTCAGTCTTATTCAGCGACGAGCACATGTACTGCTTTATGCTGCGAGCCTCATGGCAGGGCTGGATGTGGGTCGCAGGGAGGCCGCGGCGCCACCGGACGGGAGGGCAGCTGGCAGCTGGCAGCCATCCCAGGAGAGCGGGAGCCTTCCCGCGGCCTCCCGCTCCCGACCGGCGCCTCAGGCCTCTTCCCGCATCCCTGAACTTGGCAGAGCTGCTGGCACCGCTCACGGCAGGAGCAGGGAGCGCGCGGGGTAGCACCATGGTAAGGGGCCGTAACCACCGGCGCGGCCTGAGCCCGGACGGAGCCCAGTGCTGATGGCTCTCGGGACATGCAAGCACATCCAGGCTGTTTTTGCTTGGGTTTTTTTTGTTTGTTTGTTTTGTTTTTCAGAGCAAATCAAAACTGGTTTGTTCTGGAGGGGAAGGATGCCTTGGCTGCGTGTGAGAAGGAAGGGCAGCCCACTTGGTCCTTGTCACAGGTCTGCTCACAGGGGGCAAACTTTCCGCGGCTCCGTCCACCACTTCGGACATCTCCCTCAGCCTCATCGGCCTGAGCTGAGAGCCCGTCTTCAAGAGCCACAAGTAGAGACCCCCGCGAGGCTGCCGAGAAAGTCACCAGCAGTAATCAAGGAAAAGGCTCCATCCCGCAGAATTTAGCATGGGAGTTTTGTCAGTCAGCAAATCATTGAAAAAAAAAATATATATATATAAATGCAGTTCCTTTCTGAGTATCTCTCAGAATATGCTTTAAATATATCTATGTGTCTGTGTGTATATATATATATAAAGGGCATTGTGCTAGGCAAAGGTGGGCCTAGAGGTGTGTAGAAGTATATATATATATATATATATA